TTGCGCGAGGGTGTTTTTGAACGGCATGGCTACTTTTAACTTCGGCACTGCGTCGCAGACACGATAGTACAAATGAATTTCTCTTGTCTTTTCGAGAAGCTGGATGCAGTGTACCGAGTACCTAGTAATAGTAGGTGGGATGCTTGCTTTTTCTTGGTGGGTTGGGGATGACGTTGCTCGCGTCTTGGTTCCTGGAACAACGCTAATGCGTTCCGACGCATCAAACAACCAACTTCTTCTAGTTACTATGTACCAGTGGCACCTCTGAATATCAGTCAGTATCGGTCATAGTCAGTGTAGAAAGCTCTGCCTGAAGGGTACCAAGTGCCAGTATAGGAGACACGCTTTGCTCCTGTAAGTTGATCGCTTGTGGGGGGTTGTTGCTCGTGGGCCGATGGCTCAATGACGAGGGTGTCAATTAAAACCAGAATCGGTGTCTTGCAGACATGGCTGCATCCACTGCCATCATGTAGTCGACGGCGATGTAACCAAGATGCTCCGGGTGCTCAAAGAATGGGGAAAAGAAGTCGAGGATAAAAAACAGGATGTGAAAACTCTCTCTCTTATTCAGTAGCCGATGGCTACAGAGCGCTCGCTCGATCCAACACTTGCTCCCCCAAGCTTCGTACACAAACAGCACATGAACTCTCCCCGGCCGAGTCAGCCATCATGCTCGCTGGCAGGTTTCTTCTCTATTCAGCCTTGTTGGCTTCCTCCTCTGCGGCCTGCTCCGCCTTCATCAGCCCCCAGCGACGCATGACGGCCTCTTCGGCCTCCCACCGAATCCGGTCCCGTTCCTCCTTTGTATAGCCGTCGGGGGTGTCGTCGTCGTCAGTATCGACAACGGCAACCACCCCGGCGGCTTCCTTCTCTTCCTCCTTCTCCCAGGCGGCCTTCTCTGGCGCGCCCGCCATGCCCTCAGTCAGGAGCCATGGCTCCCGGAACACGAGCGCCTTCAGCTCCTTTATGGCGCCGATGACCGTCGCGCAGGTATGGCAGCGTTTGAGCATGCTGCCCCAGGGGTTCTCCACCGCAACGTTGCACCACTTGCGGTCCTCCTCGTTCTGGAGGTAGTCCTCGCAGAAGTTGTAATTCGCCTTCTTGCAGGCGTCGCACTTGTATTTGAAGCACATGTCGGCCTGTGACTTAGAGGTCTCTGCGTAGGTTGATGTGCTTGATTGAGTGTCTGTCGCTGGCGAGGTTGGTGAGTCTGAGAGGAATGCTGACAAGGATACCTCCACTGAGAGCAGTGAATGGGTGCCGGGTAGAGAAGTGTGACATTCGTGAGAGGAGAGACGTGAAGCTGGATCGGTAGGCTTGAAGGTTTGTTTGAATAGGTTGCGTGGGCTGATGAAGGAGGAGGATGGATTCCAGGCCTTTGTCGCGCCTTGGATGATGATCTGTCTCAGTCTGTCCTTGAGAGTGATCCTGCAAATTTGAGATGAGTTGAACACTGAGATGAATGTTTTCAACACGGTGCTGGGGCCTTTGCTGTTGACAGTAGCGCCTGGCGGCATAGTGGTGCGGTAGAATCGTCCTTTAGAAGAGAACATCCTAGAGAGGAAAGCAGGGCGAGTCGCCTTGTTGTCTTCCTGCAACATGATTTGAGACATCTCGTGAGCAAGACACCTTTTGCCAGTAGTTCACCATCTCGGAGAGAACGTGAATCCAGACTGTTGGACTTCCCAGCAGATGGTTTATCGCGAGAGAGGAGCAAGGCTCGGGCATCTGAAGATACAATCTTGAAGACACAATCTGAAGGTGGTCGACTGCGAGAAGAGTGACATCGACGTTGACAGACCTTTCTGAAGAATTCGGTGCGTGTGTCCTGCCGAGAGGTCTGCCAAATGTGTTAACGACATCATCGCTTAGTCGGCGACGTGTTAACAGGTTCACTTTAGCAACAATGAATTCCCTTCGACTTGCGCAGACCTTTCACGGTCTTCTCTCCAAACCTCGCGGGAATTCGCCTCAGAAAACCGCTGAGGAATTGAACGCAACTTCAAGCTCAGAGGTACGTCTGTTCCAGTCCTTGTGTGCCTCTGGCTACATGAGACGCAACCCACGACCTCCATCGTGAACAGACAGGACATCTTTTGACCACAAACTTCTGTACAGCTCGACGGCGAATACCAGCAGATCCTCACCCCAAGCATGGCCTACCAACGACATCTCCACAATCATCCGAATGGCGAAGATTACTGTGCTGGGTGCTGGATTTGGGGTCAAGTCCACGACCACGACGATGAGAATAATTGGGAAGACGACTCAAGCTCCGACAAGACCCCAACTCAGGCCTCTTACTTGGAAGCGAGAGAACTTCAGCGCAATGTGAGTCAACCACACGAAAGGCCATCATCTGAGACATGATAGATGAGGAAGAGGAAGAGGAACAGAGACAAGGATAATGTTGATATACGGACAATTGTATATCCGGTCCCTGGGCGCCCAGACCAACCAGCTTGTGGCGTCTGTCTGCGCCACAAGCGCCACAGTCCCAACACTGAGCCTCATCTTTTGCCTGTTCCTACTTCATCATTGTCCATCTCAAGACACGATCATCCTTTATCATGGTCAATCTCATTTGGACACACAGAGGAAGCTAACGTATCTTCTGTGTCCAGGTTTCTGATCCTGTGACCCACGAATCGGCCGCAAGTGACAATACCACCATGGCCGAAATCGAGGACCACTTCACTGTCTTCGTCCGGCTCCCCTTTAATCGGGGTGACTTTGTCGATCCCCCCCCTGTGGCTTGGTCTGCAGCAAAAGAGCGAGCACTATGGGATGTCATGTCTCGTCAGTCCAAAAACAATGAAATCGACTGGAAGGCACTATCAGAGAGATTTGAGGTGACGCAAGCCTTTCTCCTCCAACAAGCGGCATGGCTCTACGAGCGACAACTGTCCCAGGTTCGGGCACAGATGCGACGAGTTGGAAACAGACAATCTGCCACGCCCTCCCCGGCTCCGGGATCAGCTTCCGCCAGCATGGTGGGTGGCCAGGCAATGAAGAGAGCTGGCAGTGGAGGGTCACGTGTTCCTTCTCGGTTGTCCACCCAACACATTGGAAGTCCTGTTGCGGGAGGAGGAGACAGTACGCCAGGAACTCCTGCTAAGAGCAGGACTTCACTGCCGTTCCGGAACACGTCTGGGCCAGTTGCAGCTGCCGGAGGTCCACAGACCAGGGTGGCTTCTGGAACATCAAGACCATTGTCGAGGCAATCTTCCAAGGATGCAGAGGCTCCGCAGTCTAGAAGAGGCAGTATCCAGCATCCATTGGCAAGATCGCCAGGTCAGACGCGCAACAATCAAGCCCAATCATCTGACTCGGAAGATGAGATGACTCAATCCCGGATTATGGCTCGACGACCAAACCCCTCGTCTATGCACCGCCGCGTTCTTTCCTACAGGAAGGAGTTTCAATCCCAAAAGGGTGCCACTAGTAATTTGGACGACAAGGGCCTTGCACAGAATCCGCCTACCCATGACGAGGAAGACGATGAAGAAGACGAGCCATCTTTTCTCCCATTTGCCAACCCCCCAACCGAAACCAAGCCTCGGCCATCATCTTCCTCCCAACAGGATCCTGGTGCAACGTTGCGCGGCGCTTTGCAAACACAGCGACCCAGCATGCAGCGTCGCACGACATCGGAACGCATAGTCTCGTCTCCCACCATCGAGCCGCCGACTCCTGTCCAGACCCAACGAAATCCACCAACCGTCTTATCCTCGACCTCATCTCCGTCATCCCCTACCTATCCCGCTGCTGCAAACACAACCTCGACTCGACCCGCGCCTCGAACCGATGGCCAATACTCTTCTCAAGGTAATCCGACAACCCAACCTCCTGCCATTCCGAGGCTCGGCACACCTTTATCTCCTCCTCACCGTGCGCTTCTCCACACCAACTCTCAGTCCGCATCTGCCGCAGCCTCGCCTCGCCGCCATGGCACAGGTCCAGGGTCTGATACCTCGCCTTCTATGGGATCCTCCTTTTCCGACCTGGATGATACGAGTGTTACGCAATCGGCGTTGGAAGAAGCATTGTTGAGCGGAATGGGGAATACCACGATGACGACGCATTTTGGAGGGTTTGGAGGCAGGGTCACTAGTGGAATCGGACAGGCTTTGAGGTCAAGGTATTTTGACGCAAGAGGTGGTGAAGGTCATGGTCGTGGAGGTGCAGGCGGAGCAGGAGGAGGAGGAGGAGGAGGTGGTGGTGGTGGTGGTACCGCAGGTGGTAACGTGAGCGAGAGATGAGAATAAGGGCGCTAAGAACTCATCGAAGCGAGTGAACTCAGAATGAAAGTTGCGTGGGAATGGAATCGGGACAAGGATGGGCTGGGAAACGGAGCTTTGGTGGCGAGAAAGAGAAATGCAAAACTCTGGCCAAACTGAACACAGCACCAAGCATGCATGTACGGGGTGCTTGCTGGCAGGAGAATTGTCTATGTCGGAGTATGACTTGGCTTTGCTCTCAACGCGATCACAACAGTGTGCTATTGTACCATGACATTACCAGGATGAGTTGCTGGGCTCAAATGAGATGAGATCGGATCAGATCTCCCAACAGAGCAGCGTACTTTCAAGTTTCCGGGTTAATAATAACGCGCGAATCATGTAGATCTGATCGTATCATATGGCATCATGTTCCGATCCGGGAATAGGAAAACTTACATGAACAATCGCATACGCTTAGATTCAGTCTTGCTGTTGCTTGCTTTTGAGGAGAGTACAGTAGGGCTCAGGGAGGAAGGAGGGCCAAAGACAGAAAGAGATAAACCGAGCTGAATCAGGCTGAGCGAAGTCGAAGCCGAGTTGAGTCGTGTAGAACAAGAATATCTAGCGAGCTAGGTACATAACAAACTTCATTATCCTAACCTTTTTCCTGTGAGCAAGCACCGCAGCGACGCAGACGCGGGGGGATACAATATGGGATCCCTGCCGACTCTGGTTCTGCCTCTGCCCCTGCTCTGCTCGCCCGTCTACCTGTACTGTCTACACCTCATCCCTCTTCCGCTCGGGCTTGCCGCTGCTCTTGGACTCGTGGGCGAGATTCTTGCCTACCGACCCGGTCGTCTGCGTCCGCGTGGACCACGATGGGGTTGCCGTGACTTTGCCGCTGTGGCTGCTGCCGCTGCCGCTGGCACTACCGCTTCCGCTGTGCTTCGCCGAGTGGCTGGCGCTGGAACCATCACCATCGTGGTGCGTGGCGTTGCCCTTGAATTTGCCGTGGTTGGGGAAGTCCTCGACGGTGGCGTTGTGGCCGTAGCCGCGGTATCCACGGACGCCGCGCTTGCGGTGCTTGTCGAGGTGCTGGAGGTGCTCGACACCGCCCTTCATGTAGTCGACCATCTTCTCGCCCAGCGTGCGCTTGCGCAGGGCGTCGTCGACCGCCACGCCCGGATTGGCCGCGTACCAGGTCTGGTAGGCCGGGCAGGTCTGCGCGACCGTCTCGGGCACCTGCAGCGACGTGAGCTGCTCCTGGTGCTCCAGCAGCATCACCACCATGCCCGCCGACAGGTGCCACGCGATGTGGCAGTGCAGGGGCCACACGCCCGCGTTGTCCTGCGTGTACTGGATCACAATGTACGACGGGTTGTCCGGCGTCGCTTGCGCCCAGAGCATGTGCACGTCGCGCCGCTGCGGGTTCGACGGGTTCGTCACCGTGCCGTCCCAGGTGCCAAAGCCCTCGGCCAGGACTTGGAAGTCGTGCCCATGCATGTGCATCGGGTGCGGCGCCGGGGTGGTGTTGATGATGACGATCCGCACAGTGCTGTTGGTGCCCGTGTTGATCACATTGTACTGTGGTGCGAACTCCGTCTGTCCCGCAATCGCCTGCGAGAGCAGGCTGCTCGAGAGATCTCCGTCGTAGCTCACCCCGTTCATGGTCCAGTGGAAGACTCCCGAGGCGTCGGGGGCGCCAGCAATGGTGATGGTGATGGTGGTGTCTGCTTCGGCCACGGGCATGACGTACTGGGGCACCGTGCTCGCCAGCGGGTCGTTCTGGCAGTTTGAATTGATGGGCGGTTGAGCACCAGTACTTGTGGGGACGACACTGGGATCAGACCCCTTGTAGTAGATGATTCCTTGACCATTAGGTCCGTTCGTGTCTCCGCAGGGGGAGTTGAAGGCCCGCAGCCAGTAGGTACCTGGGGCCTGGTTGGCAGTAACAAGAACATCGACACGTTGACCCACACCGATGGTGACAAACTGCGTTTGGTAAGGCTGAACAGGGACAAAGTCATTGGCGATGACAGTCAGCTGGTGTCCGTCGATCGAAATGGTCTCGAACGCCGACGCGCCAGTATTGACGAACCGCAGCCGGTATGTCTTGCCGGATTCGAATTCCCATGATGCGTAGGGGACGACGGAGCAAGGGGCACCGTTGGTGACATTGGCACAAGGATATTGGCCGACACCTGCGACGAGGTTGGAGTCGGAGAACGGTCGGAAGGGTTGACCGGAGCTGCTGGGCGACATGACCAAGTTGACAATGTCCTCGTAGCTGTCATGGAACCAGTCCGATACCAGGATGGGATAGAGGTCAACATCGTAGCCAGCGTCGTTGGGACCGTGAACGACGATGGGCCCATTGACGCCTGCAGAGTACTGTGCAGAGTAATGGGCGTGCCACCAGGAAGTGCCATACTCGTCAGCACGGAATTTGTAGGTCAAATTTCCACCGGGGACGATTGGGCATTGGGAGACAGTGACGACTCCGTCGTAGTATGGAGTTCCAGGTTGGTTCAGGCCATGCCAGTGTATCGACGTGGGTTCTTCGGGACCCCAAATCTCGTTGTGAACATTGACTTCGATCCTGTACAGGTTCAGCAAAACCGCTCAGTAACAGCCATAGGCATTCTCGTACCAGTCACCCCAGTTTGCCTCAATCAAAGGACCTGGATATTGGCCATTGACAACAATCATGGCTTGCTGCACTCCATCAGGGGCATACGTCCCTCGCGAGACGGTGAAGTCATAGTATCGTGTAACGCCTGGCATCAGATTCAGCCTCGTCTAAACATCAATCCCAAGAAGATCAAGCGGACCAGTATCGGGTATGTCATTCTGGGGATGTGATCCAGAAGCTGTTCGATCCCCCCACGGGCAATCACCACCCTTGAAAAGAAGTGTTAGCGGAAAGATCTCGTGAAATATTTCCGGTCTCTCTCAGGCTTACTCCCATCCATTTTCCAAGAGGTCCTGGTTGACCAGCCAGAATGCCTTCAGCAAATACAGCGCCCAAAAGGGCCGAGACCAAACCTGTCCTCATTGTCGACAGAAACAAGGTCAAAGACTGGTCGAATAAGTGTGTAACCAGGAGAAGAAAATCCCGTACAACACTCGAGCCCGACGGAGTGTATTTATGTCGACTGCCACGGACTGAGCTGACCAGCAAAGCGGCGGGTCCAGACTTTGGCCTCCATTTGCAAACTCCCACGAAGCGGTAAGATCAACTAGACTTGTTGGGCTAGCCATTTCTGGATGTTACGAGCAGTCATCAAACTAGGTAACAGGCAAGCCTGTCAAAAGCACGGACGGGGCTTTTTGGGGAGAACCGCTTAGGCGAGCTGCTCGTAATTGGAAAGTCGTCCAGGAGCAAGGAGAGGAGGGCCAACATGAGCTTTGCCCTGCGGCGGAGCAGAACAGTCTGAAGAGACAAGGACCCGGAGCGGCCGTTTGGCCCCTGCCCGTGCTACTGAAGTATACTGGAGTCAGGAAGAAATGCTTTCGAGATAAGCGACGGCGCGGCTTACTGCCGTGGCAGCAGCAAGCAGTGACGGAACAATGTGAGCGAGGCGGTCAGATACTGTTGGATGCCTGAACAAATGGCCCTTGTAATCCATCATAAGAGTTTGCACCTCGATCATCTCCAGGGGATGGAGAAGTCATATGTAGGACAAGGTTAAGACTGGCCCCAGGGGTTGAAAAGCATCTGTTTGGAGAGTAACGGTCATCCGGGCTGAAATGCTTACATAGCGGGGAAACCAGAAATAGTTCGTCCTTGTTCATTGTCTCGAGTCAATCAACTGCGTCCAAGCTCCAAGCGGCATGTCATTGTCGAGGTCTTGACTGTGACATTCCGAGCAAGGCATGTGGCTGTTTCTCACCGACAAATTCTGCTTGAGGCGAAAGGGCCTGGCTGGTGCAGTCAGCGTGGTTGATTTACCAAAGGGAATCGCGGAGTGTCTGAGACCCTGTACCGAGTATAGTTTGGACTCCGACATTTGGAGGCTGAGAATGCAAACACCCCGAACGGAATATTCGGCTTCCGATACGAGCTGAAACCTGCACTGCTGAAGCGCGGGTACTGCACCGGGCAAAGCATCTGGGCCCGTCAGCACCAATGCTGGGGTGCCAATAAGATGATGCACAAGCATGACTCCGCGCGGGGACCAGCAGAGCAGCAAATAAGCCAGGCTCTATCAGGTATGCCTCAACTGCAACAGGGGAAAAAGGCCTCGCAGGGTGGAAAAGGCGGGTCTAATTGGGAACCTAGTGGCCGTGCTTAGACAAGCGAGCTGTTGACAGCGCATGTGATAGCAGACGAGAGTACTGCTTTTATATAAGAGAGCACCACGAGCGCTGTGCCAGTAACAAGTCTCTCCTTCCTCTAGTTGCCGGAGCCACAAGAATCCGAACATGATACGTTCGCGTTGCCCTGGCTGGGCCGTGCCCCTTGAAAGTGGGAGTATAGATTGTTATCTCTGGGCCGTCCCATTGGGATCCAAGCAGAGGTTTGTGACTATTGTCTGCCCGGAGTGTATGGGTATATGTCCACCATTATCGTGACCCACGATAATGGAGTCGTTGATAGACAAGGCTGCCACTGTTTGGTTGCGGGATTCGATACAACCAACAGCACTAGTCCACCATTCAATCCGTCAAGTCTAATCGGAGCATCTGAATAGCCTCCATTTTTGGCGGCTTTGGAAAGCAGATCGTTTAGACCCACTCTCTGGGTTGCTTGAGGACTTCCATTAGCCCCCTTTCTTTTTCATACTGGGTGTCTTCTGCATTCTCTGGATTTTCGGGAATGCCAGTGCCACACTATTCCGCATATTAGCTTCAAATTCGACCAAGAAAGTAACAAGATGGAGCTTTGCCTCAAGTCGAAAAACTATGTTTGGGTTCGACTTACAACAGGATGCATGTATTCCCACCGTGCTGTTAATGGTAGACTCATTAGAATGCTTTCAACGCGGGCGCCAGGGGTCCGCAGCCCAAAGCTGGTGCCCCTGTCGTTGATGAGGTTGAATTCGACGTATCTCCCTCGTCGAATTTGTTGCCATAGTTTCTGTTGGGGCAAATAGGGCATATCCTTTCTTTTTTTGACGATGGGTAGATATGAAGGTAAGAATGACTCAAGACCGCTGACGACGAATTGGAAAATATCTTCCTGCGGGTTCCGCGAACCAGGCCGCGAACTCGCTTCGAGATCATCAAAGAAGATGCCGCCAATGCCTCGCGCTTCATTTCGATGCGGAATTCTGAAATAGGAGTCGCACCACTTCTTGAACCTCGGGTAGTAATCTTTGTCGTGCTTGTCACAAGCGGCCTTGACGGTCTTGTGGAAATGTTGAGCGTCTTCTTCAAACAAATAACAAGGCGTCAAATCTGTCCCTCCACCAAACCACCAATTTTGCTGGGACGTCCCAGTTGCATTGACGGGGTCCCGGGGATCAGACGTCTCAAAGTAGCGGTAGTTCATGTGAACGGTTGGAGCCATGGGATTATGAGGGTGCAGCACGAGTGAGATCCCTGCTGCAAAGAAATTCAATTTGTCGACATCCGAAGCAACAAAGGATTGGTGATCTGAACGCATCTTCTCGATGGCAGGGCGTGACAACTCTCCGTAGACGACGCTGATATTGACACCAGCTTTCTCGAAGACATTGCCGTCCTGGAGAACGCACGAGATGCCGCTGCCGCCGGCTGGTCTCGTCCATTCATCCCGCCTGAACTTCATCCCATCCACATTCTCCAGCGCAAAGACTATCCGATTTTGATGTTCCTTAATGAGAGCCTCCATCCGCAGTCGCATCGGGGAATTGCGTGTAATTTTTTGCTTGCTCTTGGTCACCTCATCTACCTCGGCCAGATTAACAGGCTGAATAGGGGGCGAGTCGTTCGCTATAGAAGTCGCATAGGACATATTGTAGGCTAACGTGCCAACAAGGAGGGTCCCGAGGGACAACGGGAGGAACAGCCATCTCTGTCTGCGATGACTTCGAAGCGGTAGCGACTGTACAGCTGCGGGAGAACTGGTAGAGTAACGAATTTGGACCTGAGAAAGATTGACAGAGGACCGGCGTCCTATTTTGAGTAGCGAACTGTGAGAAGCTCGCACAGAGCTCCAAGCAGACCTGGAAACACTCATGGTCAATTGTTTACTGAGCTGCTCTAAGACGGCATGAATGAAAAAGAATGTAGGTCGACAGATCGAGAAGATGCAGGTTTATTGCAAGACTAATAGTTTCATTGAATATGTGTTGCCACAGGACCACCGGGAGAATCAAATATTCGTACCCGCCGTCAGGTCATTGAAGCTGTAGCATTACGGCTACTCAACTTTTTTACACGAGACGAAGCTGGAGAAACGCGCTTCGAGTTCTCCACCGTCACATGACAAGGCTCTTGCTTACCACCCAATCCAGCCGTGGTCGACTGACAGAGGCGTCGTGGCAATATTGTTGGGTTTTCTGTGATTCATCTTGTCTCACCCGAAAATCTTTCTCTGGGAGCCGGTAACTGAAAGCATTCGGACCAAGTCCCGGGTACTAAAGAGGCACAAGTCTGGCCAGAGATGGGCGCTATCGATGCAAGCAAATTCTCGAACAAAGTGGTCACAAAGAGGTCGATGCGACCCGGTACTCGGTAAGTGTGATCATTCTCTCCTTGTGCTGTTCTTAGAACGAAGATATGACGTGACTCACTCGCTCATCTTTGATTAAGATCTAGCCTCGTGGCCAAACTCGGAGGCTGGTGAGGAAAGTCATTAATCAGGCTGAGGCGCATCCCGTGATCGAGAACAACGAAGTCATTTTGGTGGGTTCGAAGCTTGCTTAGATAACGCGGGGCAGTCATTCGCTCCAGGTGTGGCCGGGCACTCGCACTCACACTCATTCTGCCTGCGGGTGACTCCCTGCCTCCCTGACTCCTCGTCCCACATTTGTCTTCAGGCTGCGCAGCACGGGGTCCTTGCCCACTCGTAACCAACTAGTCGGCCTATCACCGCCCCCTCCCAGTGCTGCCTGCCACACCTGGCACCTTCAAACAACTTCATCCTCATCCCTCACTCACTCACTCACCGACCAACCCTTCCTGTCTTCATCTACACTTTACACCCACCAACGCTCAAACATTTCCTCTGAGACTGCGACACCCTCAGACTTCATCTATACTCACCTGTACCACTCGAGCATCACCACACCTTCACCACCATGCGTTCCAAGTTTAAGGACGAGCATCCTTTCGAGAAGCGCAAGGCAGAAGCCGAACGCATTCGGCAGAAGTACGCCGACCGCATCCCGGTATGTTCAGTCTTGTCCTTCAGATGCCAGTCTCTGAGCCTCTTTTGACTGACAACATCGTCCACAGGTTATCTGCGAAAAGGTCGAGAAATCTGACATCGCTACCATCGACAAGAAGAAGTACCTCGTCCCCGCAGATCTGACCGTCGGCCAATTCGTCTATGTTATTCGCAAGCGCATCAAGCTCAGCCCAGAGAAGGCCATTTTTATTTTCGTCGACGAAGTCCTCCCACCTACTCATGCCCTCATGAGCAGCATCTACGACGAGCACAAGGATGAGGATGGTTTCCTATACATCACGTATGTCCTGACTAAACGCGGCGCAGAGCCTCATATCATGACGTTGCTGACAAATATCCAGATACTCTGGCGAAAACACCTTCGGCGACTTGTGAAACTCCCCGCCCTCGAGACCGACGACGCGAAAGTCACGTATTGACATGTCGCTACCGGAGTCACAAAGTGTATTGATTTGACTGATGGACATCATCTGAGGTACACCCTGGCGTTTGGACACTTGATTCAAGCCTGCAGAAGAGAGACTACACAACGGGGAATTTACCAGAGACACAGAGGTGTGATTCAACCGTGGACGGCAAGCAGGAACGAGAGACGCGAACTGTTTGCGACAAACGGGGAGGTTTTGAAGGCCCTTTATTGATTTGTATTCATGCTTGGTCACTGAACAATTCAAGTATCTTTTCCTCCCCGTTCCGTCACGATGTGATCATTTCGCGAGTCTGTACTCGGTACTTCGTAACGTAGCAAGAGAGGGTTCAGATGCGCTTCTGCCTCCACTGTTGAACGAGATCTGTCACTCACTAGGCCATCGTCCGTCAAATTGTCAAGCACTTTGTAGACGAGCACCAATCGTAATAAACCAACGCCTGCCTGGATGACAACTTTCCCGCTCAGAAGCCGCCACTTTCCCTGCCCTTCTGTCGCATTCAGGCTGGCGCTCGCGTCACTCATTCTCAGCCTAGAGATCACACTTGCAGCGATATATCACGTGCGCGCGAAAAGACGCTTTAGGATGGATTTCCAGCCCTCAACATCTCTCCAACCACCAATATCACCACCACCACGCAGTCATGTTATGCCACTCCTCGTCTCGCCAGGTGTCTTCGGATTTTCTCCAGGCTTCTCTCGACGCAAACATTCGGATTCCACCATGAGAATGCTGTATTCCTCGATCACCAGTTGCGTGTAGAATCGACACCATTGGCAAAGTGTCTATCCCCGGATGCCTTGAAAAGATCTTCATTCGACGCGAGCCTTGGTCTCTCGCCTTGCGATAGCAACGCAACCTCTATCATGGCTCTTTGACAGGTAGGCATCGAGACCGGAACAAACTCGACAGCTTCCTCACTTCAGAAGCCCCATGGGTGGTTGCATGGCAGGTTAAAAGGAGCACGATCCTTTCTCACTGTACTCGTGACTGTCCATTGACGTGATAGCATAGTGTCGAACCTCTATGACAAATAAGTCTCAGCCAGCGTCGACCCCAGCGTTCGTCCTCTTTTCATGACTTCGATCAGCTTCATTGGACTTGCTGAGCAGTGTTGCACCTCCGTCTTACATGGTGGACCTGATGAGGCTGCCTGCTCGAACATTCTGCCCAGGATGGTAAGGTAGGTCAGGGCGTGAGCTCAGACATGCGCAAATCAGACTCCCTATACCTGCCCGCTTGGAACTTGTTGCTTGATATTGCTTGTAGTCTCAGTCTGATCAACGAGCAAACGAGTTACCGTTGCTGCACTGCATCCGCGTCCGAGTTTATCCAGAAGTTGCCCATTGTACGTGCGCATCGCAAACCATTGACCGTGTGCAGCAGGCTCAGGTTGACCAAGGTACAATGATAAGCATACGCCAGGAAGCAGCGAAGTGCTCGAAACCTGATATGCCAATGGCACCCGGGAAGCGACTTACTCGGACTTCAATGCCGCCATCCCGCCTCATTCGTCCAGCCGTGAGCCTTCGTTCTCAAGTCACAACGTGGAGTGGCGAAAAAATCAATGCAACCTTGTCGATCTGCATGGAGTATACTGTCTGGTTTATGCCGTGCCCTGACATGTGGAGTATCTAACTGCCCAAACCTCAAAATCCAAATGTCCAATGCACTCTGATAAAGCACATCACGGATGATCAACGGCATTTGAGGAACTACCAAGTGGAAGAGCCTGCCTACGAGGAGATACTTCACCATCTGCATCGGTCGATTGAGCCGTGGGTCCACAAGCCCCTGAAAAGGGATATCTCACCATATGAGCGATCACGCTAGGTCTACAGAAGGCCCCGTGAGCTGCAAGGCTTACAAACATCATGACTCCGACAGCGATCAGGCTTCTTGAGGACTAACACGCCACGTCGCGGATTGTATCGAAGTCCCCTGTCGCTTTGCAGATACGTAACAAGCAGGGCAAGAGAGAGACTTCAAACCGATGCGCGTTGATTAGTCCTCACGCCTACGAGTAGAGATGCTCACGCACCACACCCACCTACCCACTTACTTGTCCAGGCAGGACTAGGACGTCGGCCTTGGGCCTGTCTATATCTAGCTGTTTGTTATTACGAGCGGACGACGAGTTGATCCTTTCCGACCGTGCGTCACCGCGTACCGGCCCGACCGTCGGAGGTGGATGGGTCCCCTGGCCCCTGGAGGGATAGGAGTAGGAGCTTCCACAAGTCCATGTACGTCCCGCTGAGTCTGACACATGAATCATTCATACCATCAACGAAGGTCCACGCGCATGCACAATGAGATTTCTCAAGTGCAGTACGAGCATTTAGCACAAATGACCAACCACCCCCGTGCGCCTTTTTTTCGTGGCAAACTTAGCTGCTGTGCGCGTTTCGCTCTCACACTCACACTCTCGCTTGCAAGGCTCCAGAGAGATCAGGCTCCAGCCTGGCTTTTGTTCTTGGTTTTGAGGAGCTAAGGAGCCTCTACTTGTGCACACACGGAAAACCCGAGCTCCGCAAAGCTTTGCTTACAAGCACTCGTACCGTGTACTTGTACCTCTTTGTCCGTTACCAAAACTGGGAAGCATGGAGCATGGGACTATGGATCACTAAATATAATGGAATAGAATAGAACTGCAACCCGTCAATCCGTCAGTCAGTTAGTCAGTCAATGCTGGAAGATTTCAGAAGGGGAAAAAGATGCTACTGGCCTTGACCATGACCATACCCACGCCCACGCCCACGGATCATCCGTGCATTTTCCCGCCGCCTCGTACCGAGCACCGAGTACTCGTGGAGGAATCTCGATTACAAGTCTCAAGAACCCGTGAAAGTACCCAGTGTACCTCGTAACTGCATACGAAAACTCCACAAAGTCAAAAGATGCGACAACGCGGCCCGACTTTGCAGAGGTCCATCCAGGTTACGACCACCGAATACCGTCTTCGGTTAAGCCCAAGGTGGCCATGCAGCCACGCAGCTGCATATGTCCCAAGGGCCATGGTCCCTGACCCGTGAGGAGCTATTCGCTATGCGCGACGCTTGTCCATGTCAGGCTTGTCCAAGTCACGAAAGAGGACGACAACGCTTGATTCGCTGATTTGTTTCTTGGGTGGCTGGCCCGTGTCCAGCGTCCAGGGGGAATGAGATTCGCCGCCGTCGCTGGCGGCTCCAAGGAATGAAACATTAAACAAACCGCTCTCGAAAAGGCGGTTCGAGGAGCGGATATTACTCGTTAGAGGGAATACGCAGATCCCTAGATCCTAGATCCTAGGAGTTTTGTCAGACAGACAAAAGTCATGCCACCGCCGACCCCAGCCCAGTACCAGCCAGTTGTGCCAGCGCTGATCGGTTCACGGCAAAGGGACCAGCATGGTCCATGCACCCTGGAGCCATGGATCATGGCACGCCTGAAGCGGATGCTTGGATACTTCCTTCGTATGGGCGCTTATTCGCTTACAAGTAGTCTGTCCCTGACATGTTTTCATCAAACTACTGTCGAAAATCCTCTCCATCCACTACTCCTGAAGCCCCAAATCAATGAATGACCTTCGCGGTCCGTGCTTTCGGCCTTCTGAGTTTTGTCGTTACTCGTATGTCACCTTATGTCTCGCGTCGAGAGTGACACACGCTATGACGTTAGTATTAATCCGACGAGGAGACCTTCACCTGTATTATTTCCTGTTGCCCGGGGTCGAGCTCTGATAGGGCAAGTGAGTGTTTCTATCGCATGTGGGCAAGCCTTCAACATAAACAACAGCGAACTTTTGCAATATTAGAATTAGGTTAAGTCGGCAGATCAGCACTGCATGGCATTGACATGTCTTGCACAAACATAGCGTATGGGGCAAACCGGCAAAGTCGGCCACTACAAGGCTGTGGTTTATAAGCCTTGTGAGCATGACGGCTGGTGATGGCGGTTTGGATGGTATTAGCTCTGACGGCACCAACGGGTTTCTGATCGTGACGTGGGTGTTCCCAATTTATTCCATCCTAGGGGCTCTGACCCACGAGTACATGCATCGTCAGGGGGGGGTGAGTGCTCTTTGATACTTACCGAGTACACAATGCTCACTGGATACCATCAGTCTTCCCAGTGGCGAATGCCAAATACCAGATTTTCACCGACATGGATGCTGACCGGGTAAGATCCAACCACGATGACCTTCGCAGCTTGTAGCCATATCGGGCGAAGGGCTTCTGGCTTGAATGTCGTTGCCAGTTGAGAATGTTAAGAGGTGCTCCACACTGCCGATCGACAGCTGGCCATCTCCAGGTTGTGCACTCTTATCCTTCTCCAATGATAGTCTTGGTATCTCTGCAAGTGTGCAGAATGACATGTCCTCCGGCTTTTATCACCCGATACGCAGCCCGAGATCGGGGGTCGTTGATGACAAACAACAAAGAAGAACCAGGAGCAATGGAGCCCAAAGATCGTGCTCGTTGGTCTTTTCCGGGAAGGCGATATGCACAAAGACTGATTAACTCTCGCGGGGCCTCTCGGTAATTTTTGCTGTTGTCTCTGGTCAAATTTCATCTCCTCAATACTTGCCAGGTGAGGCTAGGAAGGAGTGGTAATCGATTATGAGCTCGCTGATCGGGAACTCTCGAGCGTCCTGGGAGATGTATTGGACGGTCGAATGAGGTGAGTTCTGAGGTAATGGCCAACCAGCGGGTGACAACTTTGGGAGGTTAGTCAGGGTCGGGACAAAACGACAAATACGAGCTCTTGGTCGAGAGTTAAACGCAGGCTCAATATCCAGCCAAGTCATGGATAGCAGCCGTGCGGGCTGTACGCGGTAGTCAGCATGAAAAGGTGCATGGGAAATCAGGCTGGCAGGGATCAAAGACGAAGCCGAAAGGAAACGCGGCTTTTCTTTAATGATATTATGACTAGCATTTTCCCCCGCAGGCAACGCACTTGAGTAGGGCG